TGTTTTGTAAATAACATTTGTACCCTTTTGTTTAAGATTCCACCTGTAAGAGATATCATATGATATTTGTCTTTCTCTGTCTGTACTTCACTCAGTATGACAATCTCTAGGTCTATCCATGTTGCTGGAAATGGCATTATTTTGTTCTTTATTTAATGACTGAGTAATATTCCATTGTATATATGTATCACATCTTCTTTATCCATTCCTCTGTTGATGGACACTTAGGTTGCTTCCTTGTCTGGCTATGGTAAATAGTGCTGCAATGAACATTGGGGTGCGTGTATGTTTTCGAATTATGGTTTTCTCTAGGTATGTGCCCAGGAGTGGGATTGCTGGGTCGTATGGTAGTTTCATTTTTAGTTTTTCAGGGAACCTCCATACTGTTCTCCATAGTGGCTGTTACCAATTTACATTCCCACCAACAGTGCAAGAGGGTTCCCTTTTCTCCACACCCTCTCCAGCATTTATTGTTTGTTGATTTTTTGATGATGGCCATTCTGACCAGTGTGAGTTGGTACCTCATTGTGGTTTTGATTTGCATTTCTCTCATAATTAGTGATGTTGAGCATCTTTTCAGGTGTTTTTTGGCCATCTGAATGTTTTCTTTGGAGCAATGTCTGTTTCAGTCTTTCGCCCATTTTTTAATTGGGTTGTTCATTTTTTTGATATTGAGCTGCATGAGCTGTTTGTATATTTTGGAGATTAATCCCTTGTCGGTTGCTTCATTTGCAAATATTATCTCCCATTCTGAGGGTCATCTTTTTGTTTTGTTTATGGTTTCCTCTGCTGTGCAAAAGCTTTTTTTAATAAAAAAAAGTAATTTATTTATTTATTTATTTTTGGCTGCATTGGGTCTTTGTTGCTGCACACGAGCTTTCTCTAGTTGTGGCGAGCGGGGGCTACTGTTCATTGTGGTGTGCAGGCTTCTCATTGCAGTGGCTTCTTTTTGTTGTGGAGCATGGACTCCAGGTGCACGGACTTCAGTAGTTGTGGCACACAGGCTCAATAGTTGTGGCTCATGGGCTCTAGAAAGCAGGCTCAGTAGTTGTGGCGCACAGGCTTTGTTACTCCACGATATGTGGGATCTTCCCGGACCAGGGATCCAACCAGTGTCCCCTGCATTGACAGGTGGATTCTTAACCACTGTGCAACCACAGAAGTCCCTGTGCAAAAGCTTTTAAGTTTAATTAGATCCCATTTATTTATTTTTGTTTTTATTTTCATTACTCTAGTAGGAGGTTCAGAAAGGATCTTGCTGCAGTTTATGTCAAAGCGTGTTTTGCCTATGTTTTCCTCTAAGAGTTTTATAGTGTCTGGCCTTATATTTAGGTTTTAATCCATTTTAAGTTTATTTTTGTGTATGGTGTTTGGGAATGTTCTAATTTCATTCTTTTACATGCAGCTGTCCAGTTATCCCACACCATTTATTGAAGAGGCTGGCTTTTCTCCATTGTATATTCTTCTTCTTTGTCATAGATTAAGTGACCATAGGTGTGTGGGTTTATCTCTGGGCTTTCTATCCTGTTCCATTGATCTATATTTCTATTTTTGTGTCAGTACCATACTGTCTTGATTACTGTAGCTTTGTAGTATAGTCTGAAGTCTGGGAGCCTGATTCCTCCAGCTCCGTTTTTCTTTCTCCAGATTGCTTTAGCTATTCGGGGTCTTTTGTGTTTCCATACAAATTGTGAATTTTTTTGTTCTAATTCTGTGAAAAATGCCATTAGTAATTTGATAGGGATTGCACTGAACCTGTAGATTGCTTTGTGTAGCATAGTTGTTTTCACAATATTGATTCTTCCAATCCAAGAACATGGTATATCTCTTCATCCATTTTTGTCATCTTTTATTTCTTTCATCAGTGTCTTACAGTTTTCTGAGTACAGGTCTTTTGCCTCCTTAGGTAGGTTTATTCCTAGGTTTTTTTTTTTTTTTTTTTTTTTGATGCAATGGTAATTGGGATTGTTTCCTTAATTTTTCTTTCTGATCTTTCATTGTTAGTGTACAGGAATGCAAGAGATTTCTGTGCATTAATTTTGTATCCTGCAACTTTACCAAATTCATTGATGTGTGCTAGTAGTTTTCTGTTAGTATCTTTAGGATTTTCTGTGTATAGTATCATGTCATCTGCAAACGATGACAGTTTTACTTCTTCTTTGCCAATTTGGATTCCTTCTAATTCTTTTTCTTCTCTGATTGCTGTGGCTAGGACTTCTAAAACTATGTTGAATAATAGTTGTGACAGTGGATATTTTTGTCTTGTTCTTGATATTAGAGAAAATGCTTTCAATTTTTCACTATTGAGAATGATGTTTGCTGTGGGTTTGTCATATATGGTCTTTATATGCTGAGGTAGTTTCCCTCTGTGGTCAGTTTCTGGAGAGTTTTTATCATAAATGGGTGTTGAATATTGTCAAAAGCTGTTTTTGCAGCTATTGAGATGATAACATGGTTTTTATTCCTCAATTAGTTAATGTGGTGTATCACATTGATTGATTTGCGTATATTGAAGAATCCTTGCATTCCTGGGAGAAATCCCACTTGATCATGGTGGATGATCCTTTTAATGTGTTGTTGGATTCAGTTTGCCAGTATTTTGTTGAAGATTTTTGTGTCTATGTTCATCAGTGATATTGGCCTGTAATTTTCTTTTTTTGTGTGATATCTTTGTCTGGTTTTGGCATCAGGATGATTGTAGCCTTATAGAATGAACTTGGGAGTATTTCTTCCTCGGTAATTTTTTGGAATAGTTTGAGAAGGGTAGGTGTTAACTCTTCTCTAAATATTTGATAGAATTTGCCTGTGAAACCATCTGGTCCTGGACTTTCGTTTGTTGGAAGATTTTTAATCACTGTTTCAATTTCAGTACTTATGATTGTTCTGTTCATATTGTCTATTTCTCCCTGGTTCAGTCTTGGAAGGTTGTACCTTTCTAAGAATTTGTCCATTTCCTCCATGTTGTCCATTTTATTGGCATATATTTGCTTCTAGTAGTATCTTATGATCCTCTGTATTTCTGTGGTGTCTGTTGTAACTTCTCCTTTTTCACTTCTGATTTTATTGAGTTGAGTCCTCTCCCTATTTTTCTTGATTAATCTGGCTCAATGTTTATCAATTTTGTTTATGTTCTCAAAGATCCAGCTTTTAGTTTCATTGATCTTTGCTATTCTTTTCTTCATATCTATTTCATTTATAACTGCTTTGATCTTTATGATTTCTCTCCTACCAACTTTGGGTTTTGTTTGTTCTCCTTTCTCTAGTTGCTTTAGTTGTAAGGTTTGGTTGTTTATTTGAGATTTTTTTGTTTCTTGAGGTAAGATTGTATTGCTATAAACTTCCCTCTTAGAACTGCTTTTGCTGCATCCCATAGGTTTTGGATCATCATGTTTTTGTTGTCTTTGTTATCAATGCATTGCCTCTCAGCTCCAAATTCACCCATCAGTATATTCTCTGCAGTGACAGACAGAATTATTTTAAGTACCTCTCCTTAAGGTGAGCGTGTTGTCGAGCTTTGTCATTAGAGGGCATTGGAGGGACAGTACAGGAGGAAGGCACTATCCCCTGTCACTGCCTACAACAGTGGGTGGGCATTGTGAGTATGGAGAATTCCAGTGGAGCTCTTCCTGTCTTGTTCCTAGAACCAGGCAATTTCTCAGTGACCTTGTAGGCTTGTCCTTTCCCAACAATAACTTTCCCTGGCTTTTGTACACAGAAAACGACAATCTGTGGCTTCCTGCCAGTGAAGGCCTCCTGCTTGCACAGGCCCCGATTCCCTCTCTAGGTCCCTGGGCAGGTCAGCTGTCCTGACCCCCACCCACTTTACATGCCCCCATCCCTGCTTGCCGATCACCTGTATTCCATCTGCACTACAGAGGGTCACTTTCTGCTTGCCCAGCAATTGCAGACCATCTGTGACCTGGACAAACCAGTGATCTTTTCCGCTGCCCAGTGGGCTGAACTACATCTTCCTCAGCAGGGTCTGAATTCTAGCCTTGGGGAGGGCTCCTTCCAAGTTGCTCCTTCCTTGGATACCCTCTCTCTTCCCTAAGGGTACAATATAGAGTTTCCTTCTATCTTACAGTCACTCGTTTATCAGAGTGTAATAATTTTTTATATCAGACGTCCTCTAATTTTTAATATTGTCAGTTTCTTCTCAGTATACTCTTTAACATCCTTACCTCTTGATAATAATCATTTCCCTTGGAAATATTTACCTTTTTGTTTCCTTTAGAAATATTTATCCATCTTGTCTAAGAATCCATTCTATCCAAAAGGCTGTGTGCCAGTAATTTTTACTTGTTTCTCTCATTGGAAGACCAGTTTGCAGTTGCTACAGACATACTGCGCAAGCATCTCAGACAGGAAATGACCCACCAAACATCAAGCAGACGTGGCAACAGTTACTCTGTGTTTATAATGATTCATTTTGAGAAAAACTGATTCATTTTTGGGAAGAACTGAAATCATTTTGGATTTCTGCTAGAAAGTGCTCACTTCTGAGGTCTATCATTCTGAATGCATTACCCTGAGCTTGCACTTCCTCTTAGGTTTCACACATTACAAACAAATACTTCTTCTCTTTTCTTTTCTTTCAAAAAAAAATCTCTGGGTCACATTCTAATTTTAGTTGCTCTTCTAAAATTATAGTCCTCTGTGTTCTTTAAAAAAAAATCTGCCCCTTTAGCAAGACCTTCAGTGACCCTGCCAACCTTACCCAATTGGAGAGTGGTAATGGAAAGTCACTTTATTAATAAAAGAAAACAGATGCTGTTCCAAAGTTCCATGGTTTCACAACTGTTGTTCATTCTGACGTTAGCAACTATAGCAGTCTGTGATGATGCCTGAGTTATGTTACCAGTCCCTCTCTCCCTCCCTCCCTTCTTTCTTTCCTTCTTTTCTCTCTCACTCTCCCTTTCTCTTTCTCTCTCTCCCTTCCTCTCCCCTTCCTCCCTCCCTATTCTTTCCCTCCCTCCCTCCCTTTATTTTCTTCCTTCTCTTTCTCCTTCTTTTCTTCCTTCTCTCTTTCCTACCCTCTCTCTTATTTTCCTTCCTTTTCTCCCTCCCTCAGTTGCCTTCCCATTATAATTAGGATAGAATTCAAACTCCTTGCCATAGACTACAAAGGCCACATGTGATCTGGCCCCTACCTTCCTCTCTAACTTCTTCTCCCTCCATACTTCTCGCACTGACAATACTCCAGGCATAATGGTCTCCTGTTCTTTAAATAAACCAAGCTCCATCATGTCTCAGGGGTTTGGTACTTGCCATTCTTTCTTAAGGATTGCTGTCTTCACTTTGTCTCATGGATGCCTCCTTTCCATTATTTTGATCTCCCTTGTAATGGCTTCTCCTCTGAGATGCCTTTTTGAAATGCTCTAACTAGTCACCTCCATCACCACCATGCTGTCACTCTGCATCACATTACCCTATTATATACTTTGTTCATACTACTTTAGTAGTGTGGGATTATTTTATATCTTTTTTGTTTATCTTTTTCCTTTATTACAATATAAGTTCTTTGATGGCAAAAAATTCATGTGCCTTTTGGACCACTGTATCCCTAAAGTCTTGAATAGTTCCTGACACATGATAAGGGACTTACTATTTTTGACCATCTGTTTACTGGGCACTGAACTGTGAATTGTGGTTCATGAGCAAATAAGTAGAAAAATTATTATCCCTTTCCTGAAGGAAACTGGATAAATGGATTTAAGATATTCCTATTATAATTGTCTTTTCCTAGATGGAACAAGAGTACGTCAGGGGCCCAGTGATATCTGGGGCATGGTTTAGAGGGAAAAATTAAAGAAGGATATTATACCAAAATACTTTATAATAATTATATCACCCTATTCAACTGAAATTCTCATATTCTTTTTCGGTCAAATTTTGGGAAGGCCTATTACAATGCAAGTGAGGGTGATGAAAATAGTAACCCATATGTGTAGATTATAGAAACCAATGTTGATTATCTACATTATGGTTTTCAAACATTTTAAGCAGTAGAACCTTTTTTTCAAATCAAAAGCCTACCCAGAAGCCCAATAAACATGGGTAAAAATGGCTGATATTCTGGCTGAAGTGGTGTGGAAGAACTGGTACCCTGCGCACCGAGCACTTCTCCTAACTCCTGTCCCTCCAGGCAGTACCTGCAGCACCACCCAGAGCTGTACAGAGCAAGGTTTGAAAATCACAAATCTCAGACTAACTCCTTCGTTTCAGAAACTGAGGCCCAGAGAGCTGAAGTGACTTATCCAAAGTTATGTAATTACTGTCAACAGAAGGACTGAAGCCCGGCTCTCTGAATCCTAGAGCACTGTGCTTTCAACTGTTTTATCTGGTATTCCTAAAGGATAAATTCTATAGAATAGATTAGCTCCTAGCAGTGGGAGTCCCTCTAGGGAGAGAAATGTCAGAGGCTTTCAGTATCCAGAGGGTCTTGCTTCAAATTCTGTTGCTCCTTCAGGACCATGTACAGGGAGCATTGCCTCAAAAGGCTTCTCTTCCCACTTGGAAATCATCTTGAACTTGTCTCGTAAATAAGGAAATGGGACTACTTTCTCCAAATATTTATTTTATAATGACTTTATTGCTCTGAATTTCCATGCATCACAGAGAACTTTTAACCATTAGGTGTCTTGACTTCCTGCTTGTGAAAAGTGGCATGACTCTGATCAAGAAGTGTAGCTCCTTTTCATAAGTATTTTTGTGTTTATTTGTAAGTGGAAGCCCAAATTAGAAATAACTGATTTGGTTGAGTTGCTGGTTAATAAATCAGCCATAGTGCAGATTTTCTCTTTTTAATTGAGAGTTCAGAGCCAACAGCATCTGGCATGATAGCAAACACTTAATAGATGTCTTTAATTAAGTGACTAAATTAAAGCGATATGTTTTATCTAGCAAATAAAGTTTAACAATATATTAATCTGATTTCTGACTACAGATTGGGACGGGTGGACATTATTTGTGCCATATGCAATTGTTATATCCCAGGCATCAATAATGCTCACATTGAGATCCTGAAAAATGTCCTTTATGGAAAGATATTGGATGTAACCATGAAAGTCACTAAATCTCTCCACATCAGTGTGCATCTCCCTGATGTTTTCTGCCTTGATGATAACCACAGTGTCTGGGCTTCTCAGAAGAAGGCGCTGAACTGCATCATGGATACTGAGGGCCCTTCGGAGAAAAACATTAATGGGAAAGGGTCTGAAGTGCTGGCCCAGAGAGATAACAATGATAGTACTTTTTCCTCCTCCAGTTCTGTCAATAACCCGAGCGATGTACTCAATCTCTTTGACTGAATAGGCCAGTGATACAACCAAGGGGTAACTATGCTTTTGCCACTGGATTTTGATATTCCTGTCCAAGTCCACAGCAAATTGTTTTTGAAATTTTCCAGATTCATGCAGATCCACTGACTTCAGGGCTGATGACAAAGGAAAAAAAGTTACAAAGGTCATAAAAATAGAAGAAAAGATTTGGTGTTTATGATTAAATAAGTTAATCCTGACTAATTTATTATAGGTTTAAATGAGAGAATAGTTTGAAAATTATTGAGCAACCAAAAGTGTTATACAAATAAGAAATTATATCTGCCCCTCTGTAGAACCATGTAGAACCAAATTGACTGGCGATGGTGAGCACTGAGATCACTTCACTGGAGGATGATGGAGTCACTTTTGTGGGTATTAGTTTTGTACGTTTTGCTAACTATAGACTAAGTTCATTTGAAGATAGAGAAAGATACCAATTGATGTCTTTATATTTCAAAAAACAAGTAGCCCTATTTCCCCAAGTCCTCTGTAAGTTCCCTTAAGACTGGAATTATATTTTATACTTCTGTGTTTCTTTTACATATGCATGAAATGGCACTGAATACATCATCTATAATAATAATATTACTACTCATTTGTGAAGGACTTTACAGTTTACAAAGCATTTATTAGGACTGATCTATTCATTTACTTCAAAGCTCAATATATATGCATATATATATTTAATTGCCATATTGTAGAAAAGAAAACCAAGAGATGAAATGACCTGTTCAAGATTACACAACTAGTAAGTGACAGAATCTGTACCTAAACTTGAAGTTTCTCACAATTCTTGTGAAAGTAGTCTACCCAATCTTAAAACTTTTGAAAAGTATAATATGGATAGAAGAAAATGAAGTCCCTTCATTTTTCATCGTATTAATTAGACCCTTGTCAAACTATCAAGGCCAGCTGCTTTGTAGCTAGAACTTCTGAGGAAAATGTGTAGTAAAGGATTATTAATGCTTTGTAACATGTATCATCTTAGAAGTAAAGGGCTGCACTTAAAATCTTAACCAGTGTGGTTTGAAAATAGTGATGCTGGAGGGTTGGGTGGAGGAAAAGGGCAGAATTTTTTCTTCATTCCGCTTCTAACATATTTCAGTTTCCTTTTCCAAAGCACACTGTAGCCATACAATTTAACTTTTAACAATATGTGCAACAGATGTTTTGCTACCACAACTTGAAAGGTCAGCCAAGAGGGTAGGTAGCTCAATAATTTAGTACTTTCTATAAACTAAGAGACCCACAGTTATAGGATGTGATGCTAGAGGTTATCCCCAGACCCTTAATTTTATAGATGAGGAAACTGAGGTCTGGTGGAGTTTAGTCATTTACCAGAGGTCACAATTTAAAACTCTCCCCTTCTGTTGGAGGGGATCCAAGGCCCTACTGATTTTCCCTTTTTACTGGGAGGATCAGCTTACACCCTAAGTTGGAGATCACAAGAGTGGCATCCTGTCAGGAAGGCCAACAGGGAGCCACACCAGCTGCACTGTCCCCAGTGGTAAAAGCCAGGGTCCAGGACAGGCAGTGACAGTTTGCCAGGTAAGAGTGCTAAGATCTACTAGTGGATTCTGAATTAGTATTGATGCATTCTTGGTTTAGTAAAAGGAGCAACTGGACTAGGATTCTAGCAAATGAATTCTAGCCCCAACTCTGATGTGAACTAATGATAATCATTGCAATAGCTGTTGTTTACTGGGCACTTTCTGAGTGCTCATGTGTCTTGCAATGTGTTAAATATTTTATAACCATTACCTCATTTACTCTTTATAACCACCGCCAGATGCTGTTGTTATTTTTAGTTCATTGATGAGGAAAATAAGTACTATGCCCAAGGTCATGGCTTCTAAGTGGCACAATCTAGGTCTGTTAGGCTCCAAAGCCCCTACTTTTAACCACTGTGCCTACCTGATGTGAAGCCATTATCTTACTCCTAGCATCTGTGCTTCCATGATATAATAATAGTGATGACAGCTTACACCAAAGGGAACTTAGTATGTAGCAAACGGTATTCTAAATGCATTGTGTATATTACCTCGTTTTACCAGGTGGGTACTATTTTCATCTCCATTTTACAGATGAGGGAACTAAGGACAAAATCACTATGTAGTTATGTAACTTGCCCAAGCCCATCCAGCTAGGACATGTAGAGGCCATATTTTGATCCCAAGACATCTGGATTTAGAATCCACACCCTTAATCATCATGCCATCTGTAGAAGGTGGACAGTATAATATCTTATTATTGTCTGCTCTGTCCATGATTTTCTGAGCATGCTGGATAAATACTGAAGTGTGAATTTTGCAGGGATAGGCATGGAGTAAACCTTTTTCTAAACTGGCTCCCTTCTAGTCAATAAATGTATTCTTTTAAAGAAAAGACAATGATGTCTTGTGAAAAGTGTTGGTGTGCTGTGATTAACAAATATGAAAAAGGAGAGGCATTTCCCGTATTCATTTCTCCCCTTGAAATGAAAAAGATGTTTCTGAAAAGGATATGAGTAATAGCTTAGACAGGCATACTCTTGATACTGCTTTGGAAGTATTCAATCCACTGGCGGATCGTGGAATCTCCCATTAGATGTATGAATTTTCCTCTCAGGCATTCTTTCATTTCGATTGGAGCCAAACTACAGGAGACAGGATTCCATGTGTCTTTCCAGACATGTCCACTGGGGATTGTGGATGCCATTCCAAACTTGCATTTCTTTTTCATTGGAGCTGTCTTTTCTGCTAAAGAATCAACAAGATAGGATCTTCTAAAATATCACTTTACCCATCAGTATTTATTAAGAACCAACTGTCTTTTCTAAGTATCCTTTTAATAGGGTGTGAGGATGGAGGAAAAGCCTTATTGAAGCATCATTATCTTAATGGAATACTTATTTTTCAGAAAAAATTTTCTCTGATAAGAATTTTCTAAATGATACCCATTAATGTTCATTACAGAGAACAAGATTTCTCCCAGGAAAAAGGCCTTCTAGGTAAAATTTAAGTATTTGTTTGCCTTCTTATGAAAGGAAAGACATCAATTCTTGCTTAGTAATGAAAACTCAATTATCTTGTCATTTTATCCCACTTTACCCCCAAGTTTATCACACACTGTTCTAGTGTGTTTTTTGTTTCTGTTTTTCTTTCTTTCAAAGAGCTCAGATTTTTATTGAACGTGTTACTAAAGAGGTTTAGTCAAAAAGACCAAAGCCCATGTCATCATCAGACTCTTTAGATTCTTCTTTCTTTGCTTCCACTTTCTTCTTTTCAGCTGGGGCAGCAGTGGTGGGGCGGGCGGGACCTGCTGCTGGGGCAGCACCAGCTGCTGGGGTAGGTCCACCAGTCCCCACGTTGCAGATGAGGCTCCCGATGTTGACATTCGCCAAAGCCTTTGCAAACAAGCCTGGCCAGAAAGGTTCAACATTTACACCAGCTGCTTTAATGAGGGCATTGATCTTATCCTCCATGACCGTCACCTCAGCGTCGTGCAGGATGAGGGCCAAGTAGATGCAGGTGAACTCCGAGACAGAGGCCATGGTGGGGGCGAGTGCTAAATGGGGGCTGCCGGGTGTGGTGCTTGTCACCAGATGAAGTGAGGGCCTCTCCCCAACGCGGCTTTAGCTTCCTCGGAAGGATGGAGCACATTAGCGGCAGCTGAGGACTGTCATAGTGTCTTAAATGCCACAATCAAACTGTAAATCCTTTGAGTTAAGTGCATGGAAATATAAAAAAAATTAACAACTAATTTGGTTTGGGACCTGGACAGTCCACATGGATATGGCTGTAGGCTGGAGCAGAGTCCTGGAGGTCCAGAACAGGCCAGGTATTAACCCATTAGTCACTGGTTTGTGAAGAGTCTGGGAATCTGATGGACTGACGTATCTAGCCTTGGTGGTCTTGGGGCAGTGATTATCCACCAACCAAAGGAAGTGGTTTAATATTTTAATAACCGGTATGAGTATCCTTGTGTATCCTGGGTGAAAAATGCCATTTCTACCTGTAGGTCGTATATACACTTCAGTGTAAATGAGTTCAGTAGCAATTAGCAAGTTGTTAATGTCGAATTTAAAGGGACACAAAAGTTCTTGCCTTAAATCATTTTAGATAATGATTTCCTAGGATGTTTTGAGCCAAAGAAATTGAAGAGCAATTAATAAATATAAGTGTGGAATTGCTATTTTATATGTTAAAATGTTTGAAAGGCGGCAAAGACAAAGAGGGGGAAATTGTAATGAATTGACTTATAGAGGGCAGGTTAGAAACCTCTAGATGGTGATTCTTGTGCTTGTAGCAATGTGGGAAGTGCTGATGGTGGTGGTTTGGGAATAAGACCTAGGTGCAAATTAGGAGAGAGTTTTGACATTTGAAGGTTGATGTGTCTGATGGGCAGGTTATCTGTTGCCTGATAGATAATGATAAGATTGATGATGAGAGTTATATTTATTTATTTATTTTTTATTATTTTTGGCTGTGTTAGGTCTTCGTTACTGCACGCGGGCTTTCTCTAGTTGTGGCGAGCGGGGGCTACTCTTCCTTGTAGTGCACGGGCTTCTCATTGCGGTGGCTTCTCTTGCTGTGGAGCATGGGCTCTAGGCACGTGGCTTTCAGGAGTTGTGGCACGTGGGCTCAGTAGTTGTGTCTCGTGGGCTCTAGAGCACAGGCTCAGTAGTTGTGGCTCACGTGACATGTGGGATCTTAGTTGCTCCGTGATATGTGGGATCTTCCTGGACCAGGGCTCCGTGACATGTGGGATCTTCCTGGACCAGGGCTCAAACCCATGTCCCCTGCATTGGCAGGCAGATTCTTAACCACTGCACCACCAGGGAAGCCCTCATGATGAGAGTTATAAAACAGGTTTATGATTCTATTCATTTATTCACTTAGGTAACTGGCATCTTGACCTACCATAGACCAGCCTGATAAGCAGAGTAACAATAGGACAGGTAATAGTGAATAAGTCCGCAAAAAGAAGAAATGCTTTAAATGGGACTAGTACTAAGTACCACCCGTCAAACACAGGGAGAACTTACTGTTGCATTTGGAGACAGTAATGGCGCCAAACTTTTCCATCATCTCTATACCCACATTTGACCTTAACGAGACAAATATAGAAATTAATCTGCAGGTGGCCCCAAGATCAGGAAACACAAGAAGCCACATTACCCATTGCTTCAGTTATTTCTTGTGATAATAACTGACTACTTTGCCCACGGTTCCAAACCATTTATTAAATTTATATTTCTTGGCCTATTAGTCCAGGGAGTACAGATCCCCAGAAAGTGTACAAGGTAAGTTTTTGAGAAGCAGAAAAAATATATTAGATCCAATGCATGTTCACACATGTCTATTTCTCCTCCTCTTTTAATTTTTATTTTATTTATATTTTTTGTTTCAATGATAAGTGTTAAATATCCCAAACCTTTAGGGACTACTGGAGAGTGGGCACTGTCCCCAAATGAATTCACAGACCTTTTCTAAAATGGCTCTTCACAGAGTCCCGAAGTTGATATACTCATAGTAGTTTCCTTTAGATCAACAGATAGGCCAAATCATTACTATATTTGCCCAGGTAGTCTCCAGAAATAATTATTTACCTTTCAAAGAGGCTTCTTTCTTGTTTGCTAAGATAAGACACGGCCTTGTTTTTGGAATGCATGTGGGTGAGTGCAGCACAGGGTATATGTGGAGACTTCACGCAGTAGAAGGCTTCTTGGTCTCGACTATCCAGGTACTCACACAGTTCAGCACTTGAATTTAAAACCAGGGCGCAATCAGTATTGACATGGGAGGTGCCATTGGCAAACTGGCCTGTGAAGATCACCCTGTCATAGCCTTGGTTCCTTGCCCTCCAGAGAGCCGACACCCCTTCACTGGGGATGATGAGCAGGACAGACAGAGACACCCGGCCCTCCCAGAACAGGGTGAAGCTGACAAGGTAGGTGCCATTGTTGAAGTCTGTCACCTTTCCCGAAGCGCCTGCCTTCAGGGCTGGGGAGGACATCCTGGCCCTCAGGAAATCCCCGCCATATTCCTTCCTGTGTCCCAAGTGGTCCCTCACCTCCAGCAGGACGTCTAGCTGATCCCCCCTGCAGTATGTGTCTCGAGGGCTGAGGAGGGTGGCTTTGCTGTGTGTGGCGCTGGTGGTGGAGCTCACGTTGGTGAAGGGTCTGGGTGGGATCAGCTGGTCTAGTTTCTCCTTGATCCCCTTTATTCTCAGCTCAGTCTCTGTTGGTGAAACTGCTGGATCCAGTGGTGCTGCAGGACATGATTTCATGATGAAATTCCTGTGATGGAGGGAGATGGGCAACTTGAGTACAGTCCATAACTGAAATGACAAGGAATACAATAAAGAACAAAGAAAATGTGCTTATTTAATGTAATAATTTTGGTAGGTTAGCCAACTTCTCTTTTATAAAATGATGGGAGGTACAAAAATTAAAAATATATTGAGATTTCACTATTTCTGTTTTTTTTTTTTTTTTTTTTTAGTGGCTGCACTGCATGACTTGCAGGATTTTAGTTCCCTGACCAGGGATTGAACTCCAAGGTCCTTGGGAGTGAAAGTGCAGAGTCCTAAGCATTGGATTGCCAGGGAACTCCCATCAGTGGCTAATCTATTTTGAATGAGCCACTCCACCCTAAAGAGCCCTGGGATCTTTTTCCTTAAAGTGGTGATCATAAAATATACTTTCACTGGGCAGTCATGGAGACCAAATGAGAAAATGCTTTTTAACTGCATAGCAGAGAACAAATGTTTATTGTTCAATTATTTTTTATCTTAAAACTAGAATTCAGTCATTTAAATAAATCCTTAAGAAAATGTTTAAGAAGCATGGAAATTTTATGTAATATACAATTATCTATTTTTTTCTATTTCACTTTTTACACTTTGATTAAATTGTGATATTTATTAGTAATTTTCAGATTGCTTTAGCTAACAGCACATAAGAAGCATAGGCTTATAAAATATTTATTTTCTAATCATAAAATAACACTGATTTATTATTAAAAACGAGAGAATGCCACAATTCTATAGGAAATAAAAGTCAGTCACACCAACCATTGATAACTACTCTTGCCGTTTGGGTGATTTTATCTCATCCTCTATATAACAATTTCACATGATTGTGAATAAACTGAATATTTACCAATGAATTTTGATTTAAAAAAAAGTGTAATTAAAAACTTTCCACCTTATGTCAAAGGACCACATAATATTCCAGCCTATGGAATATTTCACTTATTCCTGTCTTTTTAGATATTTATTGCATTCAGCTTTTCTCTATTACTTACGATTCTGTAAAGAACACTTTGGTATAAATCTTTCATAGTAATATCTCCAAATTTCCAATAAAGGCAGAATAGCTTGTACTGGACTAACTATGATTAACATTGTTACTGTTTTATTATTTGACACGTGAAGATTTTAAAAAATAAAAACATTTTAATTTATCAAATAAGAGACAGTAATAGCAAACATTTATTATGTGCCAGGTACAATGCCAAATGTTTTTCATATGTTAGCCAATTAATCCTCACAATAATATATGGGGTATTTATTTTTATGACCCAATTTTCAGATGATGAAACTGGTTCACAGCGAAGTTAAGGGACTTAGCCAAGCTTGTATAGCTAGTCAGCAACAGAGTCAGGTTTTAATCCCAGGCAAGTATCTCTAAAAATGAGCTACCCAGTGTGGCAAACATGCAGTAAGACTAAAATTCTCTTTCACTGTTGGTTTAGGTGTGAATGGCACCACATTTCTGGAAAACAGTTCTATAGCATATGTACAAGACCTTTAACAATGTTCACTGCATTTATCAATAACTCTATTTCTGAGAACTCAGTGAGTCATAGTAATATCTCCAAATTTCCAATAAAGGCAGAGTAGCTTGTATTGGACTAATTCTCCTGTAGAGAACAGTGATTAGCTCTACAGAAGGGACAACACTGGACTTGCATTTTAAAAAGTGCTGGGGCTTCCCCAGCGGTCTAGTGGTTAAGACTCCACACTTCCACTGCAGGGGGCACAGGTTCGATCTCTGGTAGGAGAACTAAGATCCCACATGCCAGCGGCGGGATCAAAAAGAAAAAAAGAGACAACTGCTAACTAAAGTTCTTCAAGCTGAAGTGAAATTACACCAAAAAGACACATAGATCTTCAGGAAGGAATGAAAAGCACCAGAAATGATAAATATATGTATTAATATAAAATACTGTGTGTTTATCTCCTAGTTTCTTTAAAGTGCGTACAATTATTTAAGAACTACAATTTTGTAATAATATGACAACTATAGCATAAAGAATGGGGGGGAATAAATGGAAATAAATGGTTGAAAGGTTATTACAGGTTACATGAAGTAGCACAATATTAACTCTAAAAGTTAAGAATGTGTATTGTAATCTCTAGAGAAACCACTTTAGAAAGACAACTTAGAGCTGTAAAAATAATAGAGAAACTGAAAGGAAATACTAAAAGAATCCAACAAAAATAACAACCCAAAATAAGGCAGGAAATGGGGAACAGAGGAATAAAAACCAGAATGGCTGGGCAGAAAACAAATAGCAAAATGATGGACCTAAATCCACCCATATTAACAATTCCATTAAAAGTAAGTAGACTAAACACTTCATTAAAAGTCAGAGATAATACTCTTCCTGGGATTAAAGTAGTGTAATCAAACTCAAAAGAAAAAAAATACTGTTTTGGAATAGCTAGAGTGTGAAGATTTTTAAAAGACAGTATGTATAAATAAAATAATGTTCTGTAGTCAACACATTCATTTATGTATATTTTAATATTTTGAAATATTTAAAATATTTTGATATTAAAAGTTATAGTTTGGCATTAAAATTTATGGTTTTATCAAATTTTGCAAGAATTTTTATTAAATGAATTTGTGATCAATGTTTCAATATTTGAGATAATTCATTTATAAAAAGGTGAAGCTGTTATATTTTCACCTATGTGATTAGTAATACATTCTAGAAAGAAAGTTTTACTAGAATGATATTAATAAATGAAGTGTTAAATTTTTTTAAAGGCAGAGATAAAACAGCAAGACCCAACTATTTGCTATCTACAAGGAATGTAGTTTAAGTATAAAGATACCTATAGGTTGAAAGTGAATGGATGGAAAACAATATACCATGTAAGCATAAAAAAGCTAACATTAATGTTAAAGTAGATTTCAAATGGATTAAAGACCTAAATGTAAGGCCAGAAACTATCAAACTCTTAGAGGAAAATATAGACAGAACACTCTGACATTAATCACAGCAAGATCCTTTCTGACCCACCTCCTAGAGTAATGGAAATAAAAACAAAAATAAACAAATGGGACCTAATGAAACTTCAAAGCTTTTGCACAGCAAAGGAAACCATAAACAAGACCAAAAGACAACCCTCAGAATGGGAGAAAATATTTGCTAATGAAGCAACTGACAAAGGATTAATCTCCAAAATTTACAAGCCGCTCATGCAGCTCAATAACAAAAAAACAAACAACCCAACCCAAAAATGGGCAGAAGACCTAAATAGACATTTCTCCAAAGAAGATATACAGACTGCCCACAAACACATGAAAGAATGCTCAACATCATTAATCATTAGAGAAATGCAAATCAAAACTACAATGAGATATCATCTCACACCAGTCAGAATGGCCATCATCAAAAAATCTAGAAACAATAAATGATGGAGAGGGTGTGGAGAAAAGGGAACACTCTTGCACTGCTGGTGGGAATGTGAATTGGTTCAGCCACTGTTGAGAACAGTATGGAGGTTCCTTAAAAAACTACAAATGGAACTACCATATGACCCAGCAATCCCACTACTGGGCATATACCCTGAAAAATCCAAAATTCAAAAAGAGTCATGTACCAAAATGTTCATTGCAGCTCTATTTACAATAGCCTGGAGATGGAAAGAACCTAAGTGCCCATCATTGGATGAATGGATAAAGAAGATGTGGCACATATATACAATGGAATATTACTCAGCCATAAAAGGAAACGAAATTGAGCTATTTGTAATGAGGTGGATAGACCTAGAGTCTGTCATACACAGTGAAGTAAGTCAGAAAGAAAAAGACAAATACCGTATGCTAACACATATATATGGAATTTAAGGAAAAAAAATGTCATGAAGAACCTAGGGGTAAGACAGGAATAAAGACACAGACCTACTGGAGAACGGACTTGAGGTTATGGGTAGGGGGAAGGATGAGCTGTGACAGGGCGAGAGAGAGTCATGGACATATACACACTAACAAACGTAGTAAGGTAGATAGCTAGTGGGAAGCAGCCTCATGGCACAGGGATATTGGCTCGGTGCTTTGTGACAGCCTGGAGGGGTGGGATAGGGAGGGTGGGAGGGAGGGAGATGCAAGAGGGAAGACATATGGGAACATATGTATATGTATAACTGATTCACTTTGTTGTAAAGCAGAAACTAACACACCATTGTAAAGCAATTATACCCCAATAAAGATGTTAAAAAAAAAAAAGTAGATTTCAAGACAAAGAGTATCACCAGACATAAAGATGGACATTTCTTAGTGATAACAGCATCAATTGGTCTGAAAACATAGCAACCTTAAATGTGTATGTGCCTACGTATCCATGTATTTATATGTGAAACAAAAATGGACAGAACTAAAGGGAGAAGTAGAAAAATCCACAATCAGGATCAGAAATGAAAAAATCTCTCAGTAGTTGCTGCAGGAACTAAATTAAAAAATGAGTAAGTACCAAATGTAAAATAGCTAGTGGGAAGCACCTGCATAGCACAGGGAGATCAGCGGGGTGAGATAGGGAGGGTGGGAGGGAGGCGAAAGAAGGAGGGGATATGGGGATATATGTATACATATAGCTGATTCACTTTGTTATACAGCAGAAACTAACACAACATCGTAAAGCAATTATACTCCAATAAAGATGTTTTAAATAAAAGAGTAAGTACCTAGAGGATCTGAACATTATCTTAGTAACATCTTTTAACCATACAGTACATTATCAGATGTTTTTAAACTGCTACAACTTCACATGAAAATTATAAGTGATTTTCAGTATGGTAGAATAATATTCTCTGCACAATTTTTTTTTAGTAGAAAAGTAACAGGAAAATTCTGATTCAAGGTGGAGGAGTAAGCACATATTATAGCCTCGATTTCCCACCATAAAATTGTATAAACGGCAGAAAAGAACTTAAAATTTTCTAATTGTTCTGGGAAATAGGAAGAGATACCTTATATGGACCAGAACTTATAAGCAGTCTCCTGAAGAACGAAATGCAGATGAGATTAGATCAAAGAAGGAAACCATGGCTCCAACGCATGTAGATGAGGCTTTGGCAAAAGAAGGAAGTCACTGCAGGGACATTACCAACATGGAGGAGGGTGATAACTGGAATAAAAAGGGGTGAAGGGGAGGCTCACAGGAGGACAAACCAGGCAGGTTGACACCTCCTTATTTCCCCGCCCGTGCCTGGGCCAGACAGCTAGAAACAGGGACTTCTGTACTCTGGTGAGAGTAAAAACTACAGATATTTAAGCTGGAGAGGTGGGTAGGACCCAGTGTGCCTGGCAACCCTTTAGAAAAGTGGGGAGCATTTGTTGCCCTGCAGCACTTTTTGCATCTCTGCCACAAACATGCTGGAGCAAACAGGTAACAGCACTGCACACTGGCCACCACAGAATCTCAGGTGTAAGAAAGTACACAACCAAGAATTAGCAAAAAGTTTTCATGAAATGTAACTCATGAGAGGGACTTCCCTGGTGGTCCAGTGGTTAATACTCCATGCTTCCATTGCAGGGGACACGGGTTGGATCCCTGGTTGGGGAACTAAGATCCTGCAAGCCACGTGGCGTGGCCAAAAAAAAAAAAAGTAACTCATGAGAGAGAGGTATCAGGTTCAACAAAGAGGAGACATCCAAGGGAACAGAATTAATAGAAAAATCAAAATTTTAGAACAAGTATACTTTCTGTCCTCAGAGAGATCTAGACAATATTGGATCTGTGAACTAATGAGTCTTTCAAGATCTTGGAAAGTAAAATCCTACTGTTCCTTATGCAAAAGTCAGTTGGATTCCTTTACACCAGCAGTAAGCAATTAGAAAATGTATTTAAAAGGACACTATTGACAACAGCAACAGAAAAATTATGAAGTACCGTGGTATCACTCTAACAAAAGATGTATAAGACCTGAATGCAAAAGTTATAAAATTTAGTGAAAGATCTTGAAGAAGACCTGTATAGATGGAGAGAGATTACATGTTGATAAACAGCAAAATAATATTATAAACATATCAGTTTTCTCAATTTGATCTATATGGCTAATGTCATGGACTTATAATTTAAGTAGAATTTTTCACTAAATTTGACAGTCTGATTCTAAAATATATAAGAGAGAGTGAAGAGCCAAGACTGGCCGAAAACTAAAGAAGTTTTCAAAACTAATTATGAAGCTCTGTTAACTCTAGCTATGTGGTATTGATACAGGGAAGACAAATTGTTCAATGGAATAGAACGAAGAGCCCACAGAGGGACCTGTATTTATTAGAGATTTTGATATACAACAAAAGTGACATGATAAATCAGCTTGGAAAGGAAGGATTACAAAATAAAAAGAGCTGAAAAAGTGGTTATCCATATGGAAATAAAAGAAAAATCAGCAAAAAAAAAAAAAAAATCCAAGTACATTACAGGGCTAAATGTCTAAAGCAACCTTTAAAACTTTAAGTAGAATATTTAGATAAATAATTTGATGTCGGCATAGGGAAGGGTTTATTAGTACTCAAGAAGTATTAACAGTAAAAAGTATTAACAGTAAAAAGTATTAACAGTATTAACAGTAACAGTATTAACATAAATTTTACTACATAAACATGAAAATATTCTGTTGTTCAGAGGTTCCTTGGAGAAGGTGTAAAGACAAGCTAAGCATTGGGAGAAGACTGTTGCAATGCAAATATAAGTGACAAAAGAAGAATGTGTGTATACACACACACACACGCAATATTATCCTCTCTCATATTGCATGATTATTTTCAAGTACCTTGGCTCTTAAAGGTGTGTAAGCTGTTGAAACTCCCCTACTACAATCTATAGGTGTGTTTGTTTGGACTTTTCTAGAACAGATGAAGTGTCGAGTAAAAATGTACTTTTGTAAAACACATAAAGAAAGCAGTTCCTACCTTTGTGGAGTTTTGGAAAACTGTAAAAGTGATCCAGGAGGCTAATATAAACAACACCACCAACAGTGACTTATGATTTGTTATTCTCATTGTCATGATTGGGATCCTAAAAGAGACAATACAAAAACGGGCACAAAACCAGGAAAGAAATGCAGAAATACTTGAAAAGTTTATGCCTCCTGATTCCTTTTGTCTTCGTATGAGTTACTCCCAGAATTGAAACTTGGTCCTCCTGCTGCTCTTGCTGTCTCCCAGCTGCCTTTATTAGCTTGTACCTCAAGAGAGTACCCAAAACGATATATGTGCTCTTTGCAGTTAGTATGTTTTCCTCGTCATCTTCTGAGAATGGAGCCCACCATGGACTGTAAGAAATTGAGCAACTAAGGGCCTGATGGATGCAGGGTTGCTCATGCTTAGAGGAAGTTTCCAGGCTATGTGTCATCTAACAGGTTTCCTATTCTCTTCCCTTAAACAGGAAGAGCAGACACAAAACATCCCAATAAATACTGACTCTGATAATCACATTCTTCTGGGGCCCTTTTAATGTAACTTGATTTTTCCAGCTTCCTCTTTACTAATCTGTTAATAGGTTCCCCTTTCTTGTCTTACCAGCCTTTCTAGCACCCCTCAAGCTTGAAAAGATTTGTTTTAAAATTCAGATTTCTCTCTTTCTTTAAAAAATGTTTTAGGCTTTATCAACGTTTTCTATGGTTACATCTTCATTTCTGTCTTTGCCCTGGAATTTCAAGTTGTCTTTTAAAATCAGATGGCTTAAACGCTGCCCTTCTAAAATTTTCTCATCTCTCAAAATTTTCTCTCCCCTAGAAGCACCTCCTACCCTAGATCCCCAGTTTATACATAGACATTAGAAGTTTCTGCACCCAAGAATAAACATTACTCCTTTCCCTGACCTCCCCAACTTTGCAAATATTTTCATACCTTTAGTTTAAAGACTTTGCTTAATTCCATACACAGGAACTATGGTGAGCTGGGTGGTAAGGCTTTGTTCTGAAGCCACCGGTGTATTACGGGTATACCTCTCCTCTGTGCCAAGACATATCACAGGTATAAATTGCAGTCTGCATACTTTGAGCGTAGATCCAGAATACTCTGCTTGTTTCAGGTAAGGTGAGTATCAGGCTTGCCAGCCCCACCTTAAGGAGGTTCCTGGATCACAGCTGCAGTTCTCAGTTCATGCAGAGGTGGGGAGGAGAAATGAAATTCTCAGTATGGTTAAATTAGATAATTTTAATGTTCTTAGACTTTATTAATTTTAGTAAGTGTACAATAAATACCTGACAAGAAAATGTGTGAATGAATCTGGAAGTTTGAATGAATTGTCATCTGTGAAAAGCTGAACCACTTAATCTCCACCTGAGCCTTGTCATCAAGACCCAGTTGCCAGATTCTGGTGCGTATTATCTAGTACAGAGTAGGTACCCGGTAAAATTTGCTGAATTAAGAAAGAACCTCAAATACAATGTAGGCAAGACAATGATATTGATTCACTCTGAGACCAAGAGAGTGACCGCTTACAGTCATGGGTTTGAATCCATCTGGGATTTGTATTCTTGAACCGATAGAAATGATGCCAGAAAAAGCATGTGCCCAGGACAAATGCACCAGCGCTCATAGGACGCAGTAGCTGATTACACTGTGGATCCTTCCACAGTTTCATTAGTGCTGCCCCACACAGGAAGTTAAACATCTTTAAACATCTACACCAATCCTTTCAGTCATATGTATAAGCAAGAAATCAAGACCTATTTCACAAGGATCTTTAGGATTTTGATAATGCTCCCAACATCCTTCATCATGCTCTATGGAACTGGCCTTAACAATACTTTCTTATGTCTTTACATAATGACTGTTGGAAAAGCTGTTTAACCTTATACAACTGGTCGAAGTTGCTCACTTCTTCCCTAGGGAGTCTCTAATAATAGATAAATATTTGCAGTAGGTCTGGTTTGGCGGCTCCGTAGGAGACCGGTGCCAGCAACCACCCAAGTTCACAGCCTACTCTGAGACACAAGTTCACAGCCTACTCTGAGACACATTAAAATCCATGTGGATTTTAATTTTGCTTTAGTCATATCAATCTTGATATTTAATGTTAACCTGGGGTTAGTTTAATAGAAATGCTTGACTTGAGGAACTGAGAGCACAGAGGAGAGTTTAAATGATTTGTCCAGGTCATCCAGTGAGCTTTTTTTTTACATCTTTATTGGAGTATAACTGCTTCACAGTGGGGTGTTAGTTTCTGCTTTATAACAAAGTGAATCAGCTATACATATACATATGTTCCCATATCTCTTCCCTCTTGCGTCTCCTTCCCTCCCACCCTCCCTACTCCACGCCTCCAGGTGGTCACAAAGCACAGAGCATCCAGTGAGCTTTGAAACAGAGCTGAGACCAGGATTCCTGCCACTTTGACCTCTGATTCAGAGCCCTTTTCACTACTCAGCGTGACTCCAATACGTATGGTAGAAGCAAGTTCAGGTAGATCCTGTGGTTCATATATTTATTGTTCAATATATTTAAAAGAAAAGGCTCTTTTTTTTAAACCATGTTTTCTTTCAGTTTGCTCAAAAGCCTGGTGTGAGCACGATATATGTGCTCTTTGCAGTTAGTATGTTTTCCTCATCATCTTTGAGCACTTTCCTTTCCCTTACATTTATGGGTCTAAATGAGTAGTCTGAACATGAGAGCTCAGTCAGAAGTAGGAACATAGAGCCATGAGTTCACACAATAAAATATAACCCAGGAGAGCATCAATTCTTTGGGGGTGTGAATAGGGTAAGAGTAGTCTTACCTTGGCAGGGGTCTAAAGGAGCCCAAGCAAAACGGGCGAAGCAAAGAGTAGATGTCCAGGAAACACGCAGTGGGGACTCAGCCACAAGTTAGGGAAGTGGCTGCCGTGGCCTCAGGAATCAAACAAGATGCACCCCATTGCCAAGGAGGCTGCACTGAATGGTGGGAAGTCTTGTGTCCATGGGATCTGAGTACAAGGAGAGGAAGGATGAAAGAAGATGCAATAGCAAGAAGTCTCAAGGTTCCAGCAGTGAGAACTTGGCATAGGACTCTATGTCACTAATGTAATGAAGAAGGGCACAGGCTGAGCAGCTCAGCCATGTTGGTGGTGAGGGGAAAGGTCAATGCTGAGGCAGACACGTGAGTAGATAACTCACCATGGCCCCAGATTTACTAGTAACAGATCACCATGGCCTCTGTGCCATTTTCAGGTATTGTGCGAAAGTGTACGAAGTTCAGAGGGACTGCCATGCCCAGAGCTCTCTTTGAAAAAGGTGGTGAAACAGAGTTTTAAGTCTGCTTCATTATGCCTAAGTCATTGTTACCTAGCCACCTATAACAGAGATGAGCACCTGTTTCAAACTTGGCATGAGATGCCTGCCAAATATGGATGCTCCCTTTCAATGGTGACTGCCTACATTCAGATCTCCTATTTGCTGGAATGTGAAAGAGACACATACATGTGGAGAAGGAAGAGCTTGGTGGGTGTAGATGGAAGAGACTCACGGATCAAATAACAACAGCTAACATTTATTCGAGGACTTACCAGGCACTGTTCTAGTGCTTTTCATGCACTAACCCACTTAACCCTCAGAACTACACTGTGAGGTCATCACCATTTTCAGATGAGGACAGTGAGGCACAGGATGTTTAAACATTAACTAAGTTCACAGAATCAGTACCTGGAAGAGGCAGGCTATGAAGCCAGATCTCCAGAGTTGCATTTTTATCCACTCCAAGGTACTGCCAGCAGGCATGAGATAGCAGAAGACACAAGGCAGCAGAATCCACAAAGCAGAGAACACAGAGAGTAGAAATTAGTTAGATGTTCACAGCAGAAGTAGGAGAAGCAGAGGCAGAAAGGCACTGCCTGGTGGAGCACAACGAAAACCTGTGCCAACTGCTGGGGTTGTTTCCAGCTCACTACCAGGGCTGCATCATGTCCTAAAGTCTCTTTCAGTTAGGTCCTCAGCAGTGCTTTCCATCTCTGTGAGGCACTGGAGCATGTTGGGGGGCCGGGAGGAAGACTTTTATCTCACCCTCCAAATTCTCAGACAGGATTCAATTCTAAAATGTGAGACACTGGCCAAATTACATGAAACCAGCTAGTACACATATTGCAAAAACAAGTTATTAGATTTTTATTCACTGGCAGCAGGAAGCAATATATTTTCCAGGAAGTTGAAAAAGTGAGACACAAGAAAACTGTGAGCATCTTTTTCAAATGCCCTGGACTTTGATATTTTAGTTATCCTAGCAGCACGTGTCCAGGGATTTTTGTGGATAAGTAAATGAATGTGCTTGTTCAGACAGTGATGTGTCGGGTTTCCTGAACAACTCGGATGGATTTGCACAGCTTGAACAAGAGAATACGGACATCTGACCACCTAGTCAGTTTTTGACCAAACATTGAGTAACAGGTTTGCCCGGCTGGGACTTTACCTCCAAGGTAGAATGAAGAGGAACTTACTTTAAAATTCTGCAAGAAGTCTTGGCCTTCAGGTTTGACTGGAACGCTTATACTACTCAAGACACTTTTAGTTATATGATTGTAAAGCAAGTGTATGCCCCTTTTTTATTATGAAAAACATGAATGAAGTGGAGCAAGTTAAATACAGACATTTCAGAATGAAAAGTATTCCATTTCCTAATATAAACAGATCCATTGTCAAGGTACATCATTTCTCTGCATTAGAACACTGCAGGAATAGTTGGAATAGTCAAGATCTGCTGATGAATCCTAAAACCACTGGGTGAAAGTTTGAGGAGAAACAAGAATATCTTTCCACCAATACATTTATTAATTTCGAAGTGAAAGATAGTAACTTTAGGGAGAAAATCAGCAGACACCGGCTTACACAAGTGGTCAAGGTTAATATCAGCAGTAATAAGATGTATCTCCTTTTATGATGTTGTACCGAGAAGGGCACACCACTTCTGTGGTATTCTTGAGAAAAATGCATGACCCCAATCTAATTATGAGAAAATATTAGATAGGACAAAATTGAGGGACATTTGACAAACTGACAATACTATTCAAAAGTATAGTGATCATGAAAAATAATGCCAAATTAAGCAGCTTTCAGAGATAGGAAGACACTAAGGAGACACGATGACTGAATGCAATGTGGCTTCCTTAGATTGGGTTCTGGAACAGAGAAAGAGCATATGTGGAAACACTGGTGAAATTCATACAAAGTCTGTAGTTTAGCTACTAATCTACCAATGTTAATTTCTTGATTTTGAACGTTGCACAATGGTTACACAAGATGTTATCATTGAGAGAAGCTGGCTGAAGGGTATATGAGAGCTCTCTGTACTATTTTTGAAACTTTTCTGTAATTATAAAATTATTTCAAGAGAAAGAGTTTAAAAGCTTTCTCAAGTGGAGAAAATATTTCTCCATGAAATGGTTCATTTCCCCCCAAATCATCTACTAAATAACTTACCAAATAGACTATCATGTTCACACAGATTGGTGCTGCCACTTCTATCATTTCATGTTGCCATCTATACCTGCTGTATTTCTGGGCTTTATAATCCTGTTTGGTCTATTTTTCTGTAAATGTTATTCTTTTGGGTTTCATTTTGCTTTTTTTAAAAACATGGCTTTATACAAATATAAAGATACAATATCTTATTATCTTCTGGGGTGAATCTCCTTTTGTTGCTCTCGTTTTTCAAAATTAGTTTTCCATGTACTTTTTTTTTCATATATTGTTAATAATCAGTGTTCCTGTGAGGTAGCAGGATGGGATACTAATAGAGGGTGTGATTCCCTCACATGATCCAGCCCTGGAGATGCCACAGAAGTGAGAGGAGGTGATGTATTTGAGACATTAATAAAAACTGTGAGATATCCCTAGGAAGTCCAAGATAACTGGGTTCTGTTGTGCCTGATGGAGGTGAGGGTTTGGGGAGAGGAAGCGAACCCAGGGAAGGAAACAGCTGGAAGCCATGGGCAGGATAAAGATTGAGGCGAGCATTCTGAGTCCTTTTAATCTCCTTATAATACCCTGGTTAGAACAATGATTGCCACCTTGCTACCGTAGGGCAGAGAAATAGCATCTCTCTGAGCACCTGATTGGGGGCAGTGTAGCAGCATCAGGCACCACTAGGGGACCCTGAGAGTACAGAGGAGAAACCTACTTGTGCAAATGAATGAGCTAGTCCTAAACTTTAACTTCTGCCCCATCACTACTGGGGGCACTACTGTCATTCTGTTTGGGACAGTACTTCATTGTGTGGGATTTTTCTATGCGTTATAAAAAGGCATGCTTAGTACCCCAGCCCCTTGCCCTAAATGCCTGTAGTAACCCAATGTCAATAGAGCAACCTCCAAATTTCCCTCATACATTTCCAAATACCTCCTTTGGTTGAGAACCTCTGGTTTAGATGACTAGATCATAAGAGGATGACAACTCTTGGGAAAACTGTACTTGGGTCGAGGTACAGAAAAGTCACTTAGGGTTGGGTGTGTGAGTAACAGAATGGAAAATTGTTGAGGACAGATCAAAACAGGCTCTTAGTACTAAAGAATCCTTTTAAGAACCCCTGCAAATTCACTACCAATGGCACAAGCTAAGGCTTGGAATTTGGCCTGTTCTCCTAGGAAGACATTACCATTGATAGCCAATAATTTCAGGGAAATGTGACCTCACAGGAAAAAGTAATGAGACATCTGAAGAGCACAATCACTATATAAAAAAGGAGAAAAGTAATGGGCCACATAGACCGAGAATTAGAATTAAGCATAATAAATATCATTTGAGAGAGAGAAGAGATACCAATTGCTTGACTGTAAAGCACAAATGAGCAGTCATAAAGAAGAACTAGTGGAAGAGTCTCGGTCTACAATATGTAATAACCAAAATAAATAATAGAGTGCAAGAGTAAAATGTATACAAAAATAAAATTAGTAACCTGGAAGATCAGGTTGAAGAACTCTCCAGAAATCATCAAGAAGGAGTTGAAAGAATGTGAAAGACAAGTTAAAAGATATGGAGCAAAGAAATAAAAATGTCAATATCCATATTTAATAAGAATCCCAGAAAGGTAGGGTAAAAACCAAGGAAACAAACAGAGACACTACATTATTTTCAAGTACGTGTGAAAATCAAAAATACTGAGTCACAAGGGAATGCTCAACAACTTTTAAATTCATCATTTATATGTAAAGCACAATGAAATCATAAAATATTTGACAGTGAATAGCGATGAAAGTACTTTA